TTTTAAAAATATTTTATTTATTTATTTGAGAGAGAGAAAGAGAGAGAGAGAGCACTCATGAGCAGGGAGGAGGGGCAGAGGGAGAAGGAGAGGCAGACTCCGCACTGAGCAGGGAGCTTGACCGCAGGGTTCGATCCTAGGACTCTGAGATCATGACCTGAACCGAAGTCACATGCTTAACCGACTGAGCCACCCAGGCACCCCAGGAGGTTTTTTTAAGACATCACTAAAAAAACATTATATGGAATCCCTGATATAGTTAATGCACTTTTTTTTTTAGATTTCATTTATTTATTTGAGAGAAAGAGCGAGAATGAGAGGGGAGACAGTCAGAGGGAGAAGCAGACTCCCTGCCGAGCAGGGAGCCCGATGTGGGACTCGATCCTAGGACTCCAGGATCATGACCTGAGCTGAAGGCAGTTGCTTAACCAACTGAACCACCCAGGTGCCCCTAGTTAATGCATTTTTCGAAAAAAATATACTTGGGTTTGCACTTAACATACAACTATTAGAATGGCATATCTATTCTTATGAAGTACAGAAATTACTAATGTTTCTATATTTGTGTTTCTCCAATTAGAGGGAGATAGACATCTTAATAGGTTACTAAGAAAACTATGGAAATGAAGAAAAAGGATCAAAAGTAAATGTGATGAAATAAAAAAATAAAAATAAAAAGGATCATAATATTTAATTGGATAAGGTTACGCTGATTAGACCTTTGTTAGCATAGGTAACTTTGTTGTTTAGGTAGACCAGGGTAAATATTACCTGCTAAATCAATGTCACTTTAAAATTATTTAATTTAGATATGAAGCTTTATTTTAAAGATAAACTGATAATTGATAGTTTTCCTTTCCTTTGAATAAGCATATTGGGTAATTGGCTAGAGGGATATGGAAAGCAAAGTTTATTATCCATGACTCCTAGGTTTGAGAGGGTGGAGAAAAGAACTACTGACTTGAATCTTCTTTTGCCTCTGTTCTTCTTCAGTGCTGACCATCATTATATGGCAGGGTGATGGTGCCGGAGTACATAAACCACCCAGCGTATGCATTCAGTGGCATCCTATGCTTATATATGTCCCCCAGAGGTGTGCTGGTATCATCCCATAGGCTGTATTCAGGGGGGTATAAAACATTTGAACACTGAGAATATATGGCCTAATTATCGGAGAGTTTTAGTTAAATTAAAGTACATATTAAATAGCAAACAGGTAGAAGTATTAGAATAGGTTGCTCAGATGAGATTGTGTTGTAATGTTTCCTTGGAGTATTTTGAATGCTCAAAGGTGTATTTGTAAAAGCTCCAAAGGTAATTCTGGGTATGATTTTGCCCTATCAGAGGTCATGCAAAAAACCAATCAATGCCGCTCTTAAGTTTGCCTTCACCTATTAATTTATCCTGGATCTCCAGGGTTTGCTCTGTCTTTTAGCTTTGTCTATATAACATGGCATGTTATCTTTGTAATCAGAGGATGAGGTAGATCCATTACAGCAAAAGATATGCACTATTAATGAGTTTCTAGCCAGCTATCAAGGTATCATCAAATGTGGTTTATCTTGGTGAATGAAAGTGTGAATGGAAAATTAAGCTCCCATACTGACTGTAGAGATCCTGTGGATCATTTTGTTCTTTAATGTCACACTTCACTGGACACACTTCACAGAGCAGTGAATCATGCTTAAAACAAGCAGCCTTTACTTTAACGACAGCAGATAATGCAGCAGAGGTGAATAATAAGTGTTAGCCGTCTTAACCTTCTCTTGCAGTACTTTCTCCCAGGTGCCTGATGGACAATTTACAAAGTCCATATGCTATTTTATAGATTGGAACTTGGGATCCAGCCAGTGGCCTGAATATGACAGAAAGTCAAAAGGGAAAGCCAACCAACATCACAGATTCCTTATCTAATCGTTCTTTGATCGTTACCACCATTTTGGTAAGTATTTGCTTTTCCATTTTTTTCAGATAAATGTAGATAAACATGGAAGTGGATTAAAAAGGACATTATAATTTGAACAGGGAAGAACATAATGTAATGTATTTTGCAGTTATTTAGCAATTACTGTATAACAGAGGAGTCAAGGTTAATTTAGCCACAATTTTATTATGTTAGTCTTCAATGATGTAACTTATATTAATGTTTGGGCTGTTTATGTTGATTAATAATACAGCTTTATGTATTACTAGAAATCATTACATTTCTGCAAAATTAGGTACCATTGAAGAATTTTCAATGTTAAGATTTGAAAAATGTATTGACTTGCAGATGTATAAATAAGTTATGTGAGGGACTGCATGTGAACTTTACTTCTGCTTTCATCTCCTGCAAATATATGTTAGAGGGCATGTCATTTATTTTTCAGGATTTTCTTCTATTATCATTATATTTCAACCTTGCTTTCAATTGTTTTCATTGTGGAAAATCACTTTTGGTTTATTTATCTCTCTAATAAAATTAAATATGACAAGTACTTTTTTAAGCCAGAAAAATTTTCACCAGTAACAGACTTAATACCGATGCACTGGGTATTTTTACACCTTTTATAATTATATATCTTAAGTAGATCACACAGTAATATTTACCTATTCCTACAATGCCATTTGAAATGGGAATTTTAATTTTAGAATAATCAAGGAGCTCTTCTGTTATTAAGTCAGTACTTTCTACCTACAGAATAAGCTTATCAATGCTAGTTCTTGTGTCTTCCCAGGTAGTCAATAAGAATGTGAGATTAATGTTCAGAACAAACCACCACACACTTTTAGCATTTGTATAATTTCTAAATTTGATTTATGGTGACAAATCAAGCCAGGAGGAATTCATAATCTTGTCCTTTTATTAACAATGAGGGATGTCAGATCTCTAGGCATGTCAAAATAAAATAACTTGGGTTAAAAACTCTTGATAATGAAGCAAAGCTGGTAATCATGAAATGACAGTGATGGACGTTCATGAGTTTTTTTAATCACTCCCTTGCTGAGAACCTCAGTGAATACTTGCTCCCTATCCATCATATCCAAACTTCCTAAGTTCTCTTTATATCTCCCTCTGTTTTCAAAGGTACTCTCATACCCACCAATTTACTGGCCTTGTTCTTCAGTTGAAATGCTTCCACAAGATGCTAATACATCTCTTTTCTGCCTGTATGTCCTGGACCACATTTCCTCCTGCTAGGACTATTGCAGTAACCATGTAACCATTCTTACTGCTGACAGCCTTCTCCCTCTACAATGCACCCCACTCTTCATTATAATAATCTGTCATTTTCCTGTTACCCTCCTTATAAGTCTATAGTGAATCACTATTGACCATTAAAAAGTGACCCAAATTTTAACCCCAATGTTCAAGACCTTCTATAATTTTGTCTTCTCCCACCTTTCCTTCATCATTTCCTATTGTTCCCTTTCAGTTAACCTACTCCCGTGATTGTGTTAGCCCTGTTCCTTTTGTCTGTAATATGTTTCTCTCCATTTCTGAGATATTTTTGTACTTGTCAGTATTTTATATTATCTAGAATTAATATTACACTATTCTTTGCTTATTTCATGTGTGCAATATTTCTCCAAACATCACTGAATATTTCTTTGAGGCATAGACTCTGACTATGTCTCCTATTTTTACATCATATGTGTCTCTACAATGCTCATAATGAGCGCTATATTAAGAGATATCTGTAGTCTTCAGCAGTTTGCACTTCTTTTGGTGTTCTCCTTGATCCAGCCAAACTCCCAGATACATCACTTATCTTATGGCTCCAAAACTTTGCTCAGTTCTTTACATTTCCCTGTGAGAATCCTATTCATCCTTCCAGACTCATGTCAAATGACAACCACTCCATGAAACTATCTGATCTCTCCATTAAGTTGTGTGTATGTCGTTGGGGGGTGTGTGGGGTTGGGGGATGTATACTTTATGTATCATAATACCCTATTATGGCACTTACTAGGCACTGTTTTTTTTATCTTAAAAATATGTATATATCTGTATGTCCATTTGACATGAATCTATATAAGGCCAATGATCGAATTTTATACTCTTATGATATTTTAATGTTAGAGAAAAGTGCCCTATGCATAGCAAGCACTCAAATATTTGTCAAATTAAATTAAATAAACAGTATTTAATTAAATGGAAAATTAGAAGAAGTAAGCAACTTTTGAATGATTATACTTAAATATTTTTCATCTATGAAGGTTAATGCAAACTTCTTGTCCAAACAAAGCAGATGATTAAGACTATCCATATAATTTCTCAATCTTAATTACTTAGGGTTGTTTTATAAGAAGTATTCAGGTATTTTTCTCAATCATGAACAATTTTGTGTCTATTGATAAGCAAGTGGTATTTAACCTTAGTTTCATATTAAAGACAGGCATAAAGTTTTTAAAAACGTATTTGTACCCAAAACACATTTCATACCTTTTGAAACAGTATTTCTGAGCTTTGGACTTTGGAAATCTTCATTTTTTAAAAAAATTCCACAGGTAATTCTGATCTATAACAATGATTGAGAACAACTGCTCAGATCATTACTCTGTGTAACTAAGATGTAAGATCGACTGTGGAGCAATACACTAAGCTTACATTTTGAAAGAGACGTTATTTCTATTTTATTTTATT